GCTGAAAATTCAAAATCATATCTGGGGGCGGGGCAGGTGAGAGGGCTCCTCACACCCCCTGGGGGTCTCATTTATACCATGGCTTCAGCTGCTACCTCCGAGGTAAAGACTTCCTCATCTGAATCTCCATCCTGACTTCTCTCCAGAGTCCCGGAATGTATTTCCATTGAACATTTCTACCTGAATGACGCACTGTCAGAGCAAACTCAATGTGTTGAAAACAGAAGTCCATATCTCGGCTCAAAGCCTGCCCCTCCCCAGGTGCTCCCACCCCAGAGGTCAGCAGCATAAGCCCAGTCACTCAAGCCGGAAGCCTGGGAGCACTCCTGACCCTCATCTCCTGTGTCCTGTCGGTCCTGCCTCCTTGATATCCTCCCAAGCCCATTAACCTCTCCCACCCCTCCCCCACCTCTGCCACCATGTGCCCTGACCAGGGCCCTTCACTGCTATCTAACTTGGCTCCTTGACTTCACCTCGGCCCCCTTCAATTCACCCAACCCCAGCACCCGCAGTAAGCCTTCTGAAACGTAAACCCACCATGTCCCCCTGTTGTGTAAAAACTCTCAGTCACATTCCGTTATCATTGGGTTGAAAGTTTTAACACCGTGGGGCAGCTGGGTGGCTCAGCATCCGACTTCAGCTCCGGTCATGATCTTGTGGTTCGAGCCCCGCCTCAGACTCTGTGCAGACTCAGAGCCTGGAGCCTGCTTCGGATTCTGTGTCTCCCTCTCTCTCCGCCCCTCCCCCACTCATGCTCACTCTCTCTCTCTCTCTCAAAAATAAATAAACATTGAAAAACCTTTTTAAAAAGTTGTAACACCTAGGGGCGTCTGAGTGGCTCGGTCAGTTAAGCATCCAACTCTTGATCACGGTGCAGGTCATGAGATTGAGACCTGCACTGGGCTCTGTGCTGAGTGTGGAGCCTGCTTGGGATTCTCTCTCCCCACTTCTCTCTCTGCCCCTCCCCTTCTCGTGTACACACACATTCACTCTCTCTCTCTCTTTCTCTCTCTCTCCCTATTACACAAGGTCTTCCAGGTCTCGGCTTCTACTCGTCTCTCTAGCCTCACCTCTTGCCACTCTCCCCTTGGAATGCTGCATTCTAGCCATGCTAAGCACCTTTCTGCTCCTCACATATCAGAGCTTTGCTGGTTTTCTGGTTTTGCATACGTGGACTCCTCCCTCTTCTTGTTACTGGAACATAAAACACATACAGAAAAGCACGCGTCACATGTACAGCTCAGGGAATTGTCTAAAACAAACAAACCCATATAATCTAAGCCCAGAGTAAGACCTGAAGAAGACTGATATCCCAGAAGCCTCCTTCCTGCTACTTTTCACTATTCCCCAAGGGAGAGTACTACCCTGACTTCTAATGGCATACATTGGTTTTTCCTGCTTTTGTAGTTGATGTAAATGAAAGCCTACTAAATTGTGTCAGCTGTCTACTATGGCATAACAAACCACCAACAAACTGCACAGCCTAAAATAACCTTAAAGTCCCACCTTGGGCCTCATCGCTCCTTGCAGCCATGCTCTTCTGTCTGCTTTGTCACCAAGCTTCTTGAAAACTCCGCACCCCACACTCAGTGCCCGTCTGCCCACTCACTCCATGATCCGTCGCTCCATCGTGTCTTTCTGCTGAAGCAGCTCTCAGCAGAGGACCCCAGTTACCTCCTTCATGCTGAGCCCAGTCAACAATTGTCAGTCTTTTCCAATGTGACCCCCCTCCCAACTTGGTAAGTCACCAAGTCCTAGTGATTCTCTCTCTTTAATCCATCTTGCATGTGTCCTACCTCTTTCCAGTCATTATCTCCTGCCTGGACTAATCCCATTGCATGAAGGATACCTCCCTGCTCCAAGAAGCTGTTTCAGACTTCTCATTCCCACATGTTTGGATTAAAAATCTGGACAGGCTCACCACTCACCATGGAATAAAACCCAAACTGCAGCCAGACAGGAAGGCTTTAAACCTGTGCCCCAACTCCCTTTCCACGCTCTTTGCCAAACACGCACCTGCGCTGCAGCTCCGCTGGCTCCACACGGGCTCGTGAGCATGCCGCAGAGGCTGCTGGGAGGCTCTCTCCTACCTGCAACGTCTTCTGTCCCATGTTCCCTCCAGAGCTTCTACTGATGCTCCTCTATGTCCTATCTCTGATGCCACCTCTTAAAACTATACTGTTAACAGCTCCTTTTCTGATCCTGTGTGCTACTGATATTAATAGTATCATTATGATATGTTTGGCTCACTCCCTCTAGAACATCCGCTCCTCACAGCAGGATCTTCATTTTGTTCCCTGATAGATCCAAGTTCCCACAACTGTGCCGAGCACATAGTAGGAACTCTGTAAACACTTGCTAAGTGAGTAGAAGGTTCGCATTAATTGAGCATTTATTATGCCAGGTGCTTTCATGCATGATCTCATTCCCTCCTGACCACAGCCCTGTGAGGAAGGAGCTGTCTTTATTCCAGTCTTTCAAGGGAAGAAATGGAAGCCTGATAAGATTACATAATTTGCCCAAGGCCACTAAGCTGATAGATGGCAAAGCTAGAACTTAAACTCTGATGTGTCCCAGCTCTAAATAACCTTATTCTACCATCCTGAGCTTTGTCTGCAGTGGTGTGTTGCACAAAACCCTACTGTGGGTTACAGGAGCTCTTCAGCAAATGGAATATTTGAAGTAGTGGAGAGAACTCTTTATGTATTTATCTCTTCAATATATTAGGGATTGCCAGATACTAGGAATAGGAAGTGGATTCTAATTATTTTATTTCCCCACCACCACCACCCAAAACTCTACACAGCCCACGGCAGTGCCTTACACGTCTGCATTCATTAAATGTTTGCTGAATCAAATGACGGGTATGCTGTGAAGCAGGACTTGGCAGTAAGTCCCTTCTGCACAGGCAGTGATTTTGAGTACTATCCTGAATCCAGCCCCAGCTGCCACCTCTTGTAACTCTGTGCTTCTTCAGCATGATAGAGGCTCACGGCCATCCTTGGCTGACCCCTTCTTCCACCCTGACCCCGGCCCTTTGCCAACCTTCCTGTCATCATGAAATCCCCTGCCTATCTTCCTGCTGTCAGAGGCGTGATCATGCACGGCAAGTTGTGCCCACCCCTCTCCTCTGCTCGACCCCACGCCCTGCCTGAACCTGGCTGCTTCCCGGGCCATTCTTGACAGGCAGGGCAACATGACATTTCTGTAGATATTTGGAGCACAGCTTGGACTGTGATAAACAGAGAGTCACGAGACACTGCAGGAGGTATGAAGTGGGAGAAATTCCTTGTTAAATGATGGAGGAACTGAAAATGAATGAAGTCACTATCTTTCATTCTGATGTACTTTTTTTTAAGTAAAGAGTTTAGGGTGCCCGGGTGGCTCAGTCAGTTGAGCTTCTGACTTCAGCTCAAGTCATGATCTTGCGGTCTGTGGGTTCAAGTCCTGCGTTGGGCTCTGTGCTTACAGCTCAGAGCCTCAAGCCTGCTTCAGATTCTATGTCTCCCTCTTTTTCTGCCCCTCCCCCACTTATGCTTAGTCTCTCTCTCTCAAAAATAAATAAAGCATTAAAAACATTAAGAAAAAGACTTTAACTTGTTTAGGTGTGTCAATTATTTAGGATTGTTGATTGCAAGTAACAGAAATTGGAGTGGTTTAAGCTGAAGGGAGACATTTATTAAAAGGATGCAGAATCTCTAAGAACCCAAAGGTTAGAATGCAGCCAAGCTTCAGGGACAAATGGAAGTGACTCTGGGGAAATAGTCCAGGATCTGGGCAGCATCCACTTTCCACATCTTGTCTTGCTGTCTCTGTACCTCTGCCTCTTTCTTATCTCTCTGAAGACCTCTGCTGGTCCATACACTTCATCATGGTACATGGCTGCCAATGACTACTGAGTCTATATTAGGCAAGACTGCCTGCCTAACTCCTTCAAACCCCCAAATCCCTGGGGAAATCTACCAGATTGGTAAATCTACCAGATTGGTCCCCACCCCTATTCTGATCACCTGCCACCAGCAGAGCTGGGTCATGTTGTTCAACATGTCTGCCAAGGGCCTGTTTCTGTGCCCAAGATAGAAGCAGAAAGGATCATCATAGGTGGAGCAAACTCCACAAATGTCCACTGCATTTTGTTCTTTCTATTGTTCGATAACGCTCTTGTAAAAGACTTCTGGGTGCTTCCCCAGGAATAGAACAGATTAAAAGGCTTCCTATCTTTAAGAGTCTTTTTCAGAAACAAAGATGAATTGCCAGTTAGGAAATCTCACCCTAATGAATTAAGACAACAACATTCCACTGGTAATTCCTAACAGGTTTTTATGCCAGTTCTGTTCACTGAAGGCCTAGAATCCTAGCTTCAACCGAAAGCCCTACACACAACTAGATGGCCACCTGGATGGCATCTCTAAAGGTAAACTAGGCCAGGCATTGTTCCCTCCTCAAGATCTTACACAAATAGTGCCCACAGCTCCCCTGTGGCAACCAGCATTCTCTTCTCATTCTGAAAAGGCAGGGTAGTCAGGTCTGGGTAGGTAGAATCCCCTTTGGGGGTTCCACACCCTGACAAATGCAGAGAGCACTAACCTGGGTCACTGCTTCCTTGATGTGGTTTGAGGTCAGGAGAGAGGGAGCTAGGCTAGAGCCTTCTTTTAATCTGGACTTGCCCATTCAGCGATCCATCAATCTGAGGCTGGGTAAAGAGAAAGTGAAAAGTTTATCCAACTCAGAAGAGGGAGCACCTGAGTTAAAAGTTGCCCAAGGTAGGTCCAAAACTTCGTGTCCATCTTTCCTGTGCTTGGTCCTCTGGGGTTCGCCTCACATGCCACAGCTGGCCCCTAGGGATGACAGATGCTGCCCGGGCCAGAGAACAGGTGGTACAGCCCCGGGCTGTGGTGAGGGAGGCCAGGGCCGCTCTGGAGGGTAGATTCTCCTCTTCCTGAGGCATAGGGTGTTCCACCCACACCTTTGCAGTGACACCTCTCTCGCTTGTATTCCAGGCTCTTTGGGTACAGCAGGCCGTGTATGCAACCTGACTTCCCGGGGCATGGACAGCTGTGAGGTCATGTGCTGCGGGAGAGGCTACGACACCTCCCACATCACCCGGATGACCAAGTGCGAGTGTAAGTTCCACTGGTGCTGTGCCGTGCGCTGTCAGGACTGTCTGGAGGCCCTGGACGTGCACACATGCAAGGCCCCTAAGAGCGTCGACTGGGCGGCTCCCACATGACCCCAGAGGAGGTCGCCATTCACCTTCCCTCCTACAAGGACTCCATTGGATCTGCAAGGACACTGGGCCTTTGGGTCTTCTCGAGGAGATATTTCCTAAGGCATGTGACCTTTGTTTCAACAAAAGTCCTTCTTCTCCCCTCGAGGGGGCCCCAGGGCTGGGGCCACATGTTGTGCACAAAGCATGCCTTATTCTCTCCGCCTTTGAGCATTCTGGGGCACATCTCCTCCTGGTCAGGACAGACTGCTAGGAGGGGAGGGGCCAGCCACACCCTGTCTCCACCCACTTAGATGTGTCCTCTTTCCAGAGGGGCTAGCCAGAGGGGAAAAGAATGTCCCAAAGGAGCTTTCTTTGTGTCTCCCAATAAATGCTCATAGTTACGAAATTCCTTACTTCTCTCAGGAGGGTAAAGACAGCAGGACCAACTGCCACTGAACTAACTTCAAATTCTGAAAAGACCAAGCAAGGCTTTTGCCTGATCAAGTGATTTTCACAGCCACCATGTCCAGGGGTAATTGATAGTTGCCCAGAGAAAGATGGCTTTCGATGAACTTTAGGTTTAAAATGCATATTTTTCAAAGCACTCATTGCCATATTGAAATTTGATGTGACAAGATGGGACTGTTATCCTTTGGTACAGTTTTGGAATCTTTACAATAGCAAGAGCCTCAGAAAGTCATTGCTTTGCATTACTGTCACCTTAATATAAAGAAGCTTTAGGGATCTCATTTAGGATCTGAAGGGAATTTAAAAGAAAGAATGATGATCTGGCAGTATTCTGACCTACCAGGGGAAGATGGAGGAGAATAACAGCGAACGAAAATCAGAAAACATGTCTGTACAGATAGGGAGAAAAGGAGGAATAAAATTTCTATCTGGTGTGGTGATTGTGACCCATGGAATTCTGTAGCTGAAATCGCCTTGGGAATGATAACTTTCGGGGTGACAAGACTAGGGAACCAACATGCTGACAGAGAGGTTTCCAGAGGTAAGTCATGACTACAAGGCCTTCACCATGAGCAGAGGCCCGAAAGAGGCCAGCCACGTGTGCCAAGGAGCATCAGCTTATTCCCATCGCCCTTCAAGCACATTTTAAAGACCCGTCATATTTAATTGTGTTCATCTGAGACTGACAAGATGACAAGGTAACCATAGCCACAAGCAAATGACACATAGCCTTGTTTATAAAGTTGGTAAACCTAGTATATTATATTGAAACAAATAGTAATTTGGAGACTCTAAGGGACCCCACTGTAATTATGGGAACATCAGTGTGCAGATTGTGGCCAGCTTCTGCTATGAGCCGAAAGATGACATCCAGACTAAAAGGAGAGGCTGCCACTCCACTTTGTATATTAAGTGAAAGAAAGGTGAAATATCTGAAGTTACTTCTCGTCCGCTCAGTACAATTAGGTTCTGGTTGCAAATACGGTCTCTTCACTGAGCTACATTAACAGGATGCTTCATTCTATGTATCTGGTGTCACATTGATGTTTGCTCATTCGTCCATAGCCTGGTCTTTGGTTTCTCCATCCTTGCTCTGCAGCAGTTTAGACTGCGGCTCACAGACACCAACCTGCTGACGTGCTTGGTCATAATCAATACTTGCCTCCTCACCCTTGTAAAAATGACAGAATTTATCTCCTTTCTCTCGCTCTTCAGAATTAGTCATCTGATTTTTCCAAAATAGTTCTTTCCTCTTTGCATTCTATGAATTCAGAACCAGGAAGGGTGGAGCGTGACAGAGTTGCTCAGGGCTCAGCATGGGCCTTCAGCGGGTTGTGGGAGGCCTGGGCAGGTGGGCTCAGTCCTAGTTACACTGAAGCTGTCTGTAAACACCCTCCTGGGGGCGTGGGCCTTCAATGGCAGTCCCACAGCCACCAGCCCTTCTACCCGCTGGATGAAGTATGGAATCATAAATCCATGTGTGTACTTAGAAATGGAAAGGATCAAAGTAGACATCTCAGCCTATCTTCAGTTTGTATCTGGGGAAACTGAGGCTGAGAGAGGTGAAGATCTCTGTGCAAATATCTGCCATTGCCCTCAAGCTCCAAAACAAATAAGACCACATGCTCAGAGCAGATAGGAAAGCCAAGCACTTTATCTTATTTGTCTCAGAATTAACACAAGTGGATTATAAATAATTTTAGCATCCAAAGGGGATGGTCATTATCTCTTAATGCCGGAGATGTTTTGATTTGACTTTGTTTTTTGCTGAGATGCATCCTACTTGATAAGGAGCAAAGGGGACGAGGCGTATCCATGTAGGAGCCTGCAGAAATTTCCCTATCTATAAGGGAAACTCTGACAGTCATCTCAAATGCCAGTAGGTATGGCCATTAGGGAAGGTGTAATAAGAGTGAAAGATTCTTATCTGTTTTCAAATAGAGGAAATCACTGAAAATTTAAAAAAATTTTTTAAACAGGTAGAGACCATTTCAAACTCATTTTCTTTAAGGCCTGGTTGAGAATCAATATTCCACGATTCTAAGCTGCACTAAAGTCTTGATTACCTGAGGCTTTTAAGGCAATGTATGGTACAAATTACCTAAAACAAAATGAAAGAGTTCAGATCCCCTTAAAAATTCTGTCCCAGTGAAAATCTTATTACAAAACGAAGTTTTCTAGGCCCAAGATGATGCCAGTTAATGTTCTGCAAAGTCTTTAAAAGTTTCAACAGAACAGGAGATCTTGACTAATTCAGTGGAATTTTCTACAATAAAGATATAATCTGCACGTGACTCTGAGTCTTAGCAAATTTGTTGTCCTCAATAAATTTGCCTCCCTAAATTGGTCTCTGTTTTGGAAGACTGTACCAGACTTGTCTTTGTATTCTGTGAGCTTGCTTTGTTAAGGTGCATTCCACTTACAACGTCTTGGATAGCCTCTCACGTATAAGCTCCAGCACAAAATCCCTGAGTGCCAAGGCCACACTCAGCTGTGGGTCTTTGCCCCTCAGGACGGAGGCCCCAGCATGTTATTGGACCACAGACACTTTGGGACAGAAGTGGGAGAATCATAGCGCACCCCAGAATACTGACTATCTGCTCTCCCTTATATGGAGACTGAAAGGAACATCCCAGAAGAATCTATCAAATGGCAATTTACTCTGTATGGGGCTGGACAATGGGAGAAGGATTGAGAGGGAAAGAGCCAGATGGCTGCTGTCAAGTGACTGGCTGAGTGAGCGTGGTGATGGTGAAGACGGGCTTTTTCAGCTCTTGGGGGTAATCTCCACCCTCCCTGCTGCCATTGCTTCCTTATCCCCTCCCAGCACCTGCTTCCCAATGCGTCAGGAGGCCCAGAAGTGCAGGCCCTCGAGCCGCTGCTCACATTCTCCATACCTGTTGTGGAGCTCTGCTCAAGGCTGTCAAGGTTAATTTCAAGGGATGCTCTCAGTTGTCACAACTGTATTCCTTTTTATTGGAGTTATTACAAAGCTTGAATAACATCAGGCATCACGTTTCTTCTTCAAAGAAAGTAGCTTTAAAGTGAGAAAATCTAGCTTCACGTCGACGTTTCTCAGCTTTATTAATTTATTAAGGAATCTTACATCAACTCTACAAAACCTAAACCAGGGCTCCCTTAGAAGTAGCCAACGTGCACATGCATGCACAGGTCCTTGATGGCATTTTTAGGCCAACATATTGTGATTCCTTCTCATTTATTAAAGGCTGGCCTGGAGCTGGTATTGTCTCACTCAGCTGAAAAACATTCATCTCTCCTCTTGCCTGCTCTCAAAATAAACTCTCAGAGAGGTGTCCGATAGACCAGAACCATTCTTTTGTGTCTATTTACTGTACTTCAACCCAGGTTTCCTTATCTTATGAGCAAGAAGTGTACTCTTAAGAAATAAACCTCACCAGTTCCAAAGCTGGTAAATTGCTTTTGTCAGGTCTCTGCTGACCTTCTGAAAAACAATCCGCTGGTGTAAGCTGACAAAGGCGTGCTTATTCTGACCTTCTCCTTACCTAGGCAGAGGAAATTTTCTTTCACTCATCCATGAGAATGTTCTTTACATTTTTCAGGGGATCAGCAAGGTGACAGGTGGTTTGCAAAGCCCAACATGATTATTATTTTTCTAAATCATACTTGTTCCAACTTCAGTTTTTTTCCCCTGATATTCACATGATTCCTGTTTAACCAAACCTCCCACATCCATGAGCTAATAAAAGTGTCACGCAGATTGTTACAAAGAACTATTGTTATTTACAAGTCTACATTTTCTGTGAAATCAAAACACAATAAAGTGAATTTTCAGTGTTGACTTTGTTATTTTAAACTTGTGATAGTCTTGCCAAACCCTCTGGTGAAAAGAAATCCCTGAAGGTTATGGGAATTATTCCCTTGTTTTTTCTCAGGACTACATGTAACACAAGTTGATGAAGAGGTGTCTTTCAAGTTTGTAAAGATTTTCAGGAGGACAATCGTCTTACCTTACTGATAAATACTCTCATGAGTTCATGGTTAAGACTCCCATTCCTGACCGGAAAATTATTCCACATTTTCACCCTGTGTTCTCCCATGGTTACCACGGAAATGCTTACCCCCTCTAGGTGCCAGCATGCTTTGGCTGTGTTTATAGCTTCAGTGTCTCTCCATAGCAGCTAGACCTACCCCATTGACTTCTCTTAATTATTACTTTCCATGTAAGTGCTTGCTTTTGGCTTGCATGGTATTATTTTCAGCTTGATTAGAAACATACAAGATCCCTTGCCCCTTTATTGAGATCTGTATATCCTGATTTTGGGTGCTACTTCTACACAAGTAGCAAAAACCCAGAAAATGAAAATAAACTCTCCTCCAGCAAAGAAAATCCACCTAACATTTTCTCTTCCCTGATGAACTGTTTTGGGGTGAACTGGCTAAGCAAGGTGTTGACTCTGTAAGTCAAGTACCCTCAGGTGGCCCCATAGTCAGAGTCATTGTCCCTTTCAGAAACTCCCATGCTTGGATGATCTGCAGAGGAGGTGCTGATACATGTATCTATGTGTGTTTTTCAAAAGAACATTTTCTCCCAAATATTTTTGCCCAAACATGATCAATGAGGTTTCCCTATTAGCTAACCCTTGGGTGAGAGGACCGTCGTACACATTGTAAGATCTTTAAAAACAACCCTCATCTCTCCCCACTAGATGCAAGAAGTTCTCTCCTGCTTCCCCGCTGTGACAACCAAACCAACAACATCCTCAGACATTGCTAGGTATTCCCTGTGAGAGGATAAGGAAGCAAAGTGTAAGACAAAACTGTTCCCAGTTGAGAGCCACTGATGTAACGCTTTGGGTCAAGACCTCTATTGAAATGCAAGCCATATACATTTCTGCCATTTTCATTTAGGCACACTTCACTGGGAGTGATGGCTTAATGGGATTAATTCTCAGCATTAATGCATGAGTCTAACTGTGAAGGAATATCTTGGAATGGGTGTAGTCATAGAACCCCTCAGCAGCATGGGGCAAATAAGACAGGCTGAGACGAACTTCACTGTGTCCTGGGAGGGTGAGAAAGCATGAGACCCGTGGGTTTCTGGAGAATCAAAGGAAGGATGGAAGCTTAACAAGGAGAAACAATAATATGATTTTGGAAGCTGAAGGCAAAAATCTTCATAGGAACTCCTCAGTTTCATGACACTCACTGGGAAAGAAAAGCACCAAGATAAGTCCTGGAAGGTGGAAAAGTGAGGATGTTATAGCTCTGCATAAAATAGTTGAGTAATTTTGAGTTTCTCAGGACAGAGAGGAGGGTGATCATAAAGAGGGGGCACTGAAAAACAGAAATACTGAGTTTCAAGTAAAAGACCAGACTCTCCAGTTTAAGACCAGGTTGGGTATCATTTGTGGGTTGATCATTGAACACCTGCCCCTACACACACACACACACACACACACACACACACACACACACACACACTGACAGTTGTCACTATTACAGGTAACCTTAGCTTGTCTGGGTGGTGCTTTAGGAGCACAAAGCATATGCTATCTCATATGTGCCAGCAAAGAGTGGGAAAGGGAGAGCATGTTGGATGTAACACCAGGCAGAGTGGAGAAACAAACAGGCCTGGATGGCAGACCAAATAAAGGATAACTGCAGCTGGACAGAGGACTTGGTGAAAATGACAACTGGCTGAAAGAAGGAACTGGAAAGCCAGTCTTCTTCTACTTGACAGTTTTTCATGGGCCAGACTGAATTTATGTCTTAGGCTCCCACTGAAATAAAGACCAGAAAA